TGACTGATGAGTGCAGCATCATCCTACTTGATGTCAATTGCAAGTTGTCGAAATTGTGAAGCATACACTGTTATTGAGCAATTTCCTTGTCGCAGAATTCGGATCTTATTTGTTGCAACACGAGTTGCATCGTGTTCACTATACATAGATCGAAAATCCACCAAAAAAGCTTCTAAATTGTCCAATATTGGATTTCATTGTTCAAGAAAAGACGAAAACCACGATAATGCAGAACCAAAAAGTATAGTGCCAATAAACCTGACTTGTGATCCTGGAGTTGGATAGCTTTGCGGTTGAAGTTCAATTGCCAATTGTACTTGATTGATGAACCCTCGAAACTTTGATCTCGTACCATCAAATTTCTCAGGTAAGGCAATTCTTGGTTCTCTAGTGCTTACAGGGTGTTGTACAATTGGAGAAAGAACGTGATTTGTTTTAGATGTTGAAGCAGCTCCGATCATCTCTATATCCCCACTTTCTGCTATTCTTGTTCTTTCATGTGTTGGTGAATTGAGTTGATGCATCGCAAGCATTAACTCCCTCATTTGCTCTTGCATTTGTGCCATTGCACTCTTCATTTCAACAAGCTCTGCCATAATGACACTAAGAAGAAAAATTTGTTTGATACTGCTCAAGACAAAAGAAAAGAAAGACTTGATAACAAAGAAGATACTAAGAACAATATCAGTTTAGAAGTGGGTAATCCGCAAACTTCTAATACGCTTATGCCTTGTCAAGAGAAAGGGGTAATCCACTCTTACTCAAGAAAAACAAAGCTCTGATATTGTAAGTGCACTCTTGTCAATCTGTCAAGGATAAGAACTCGATGAAAAAATAGTTCAGACAAGTAAGCCTTCACTCAAAGAAAAGTAACAAAATATGAATAATAAGTATGTATATTGAAAAGAGAAACTAGAATGGCTATTGCCAAAAGACAAGAAAACTAGAGACCCTTGAAACTAGACTAGAAGCAAGAAAGGAGTTGATAAGAGTGAAGAAGCCTTCACTCTTGTCTCTATATATACTATCTAACTAGGGGCTACGTGGCGACGTTCTATAGGACCTCCAATATGTGTTGACTTTGTAGGATACATGCCTTGACTTACAAGGCAAGTTTTTCTACGTGTGGGCCACATAGTTAGCTTGATCTTCAAGCTAACAACATGTGTGGCACATGGCCAACTTGTTGACCACGTTTCTAATCCAAAAAGTCAATTAAAGACACCTATGAAGTCAAAGCAGCGTCTAGGAAGTTTCTAGGAAGCTTCTATATTAAATATTATAGAATTAACTTACTTTTATCTACTTTTACTTACTTCTACCTATTTCTATATGTAATTATTAGCTTACATGATTATGGCCGTGACACGTAACAGAGATAAAGATCTTTAAGAATAATATATTCTTAAGAATATATTTATTCTTAATAATAATATTATATATTGTTATCTATTTAAAGAATCATTTCTATAATTAATATTTCTATAAAAAAGATAATATCATATACATACATATTTACTTAAATAAGAAGTACCAAATAGGAGATAAATATAGGTAGATTTGATATTACCTTGTGATGAATCTTCATAGATACATATTTGATTTTATACATGTTTATAATTGATTGATGGATTAGAAACTTAGCCAACAAGTTGGCCATGTGTTGCACATATAGATAATTTGTGGTACAAGGTAATAATGTAGTATTAATATAAAAACTTGCCTTGCAAGTTAAGATATGTATTTCAAAAATTGGACATGTGTTGGAGGTCCTATAAAACGTTACTATATCACTCATAATTAGATAGTGTATATGGAAGCAAGAGTGAAGCCTTTTTCACTCTTGTGAATACTTTTGTAGTCCTTAGTCTTATTTTAAGACTTTTTAGACTTCTTATCTTAAGCAATAGCCATTCTAATTTAATATTAGATCATCTTTAAATAATTTTTTAGTCTTTTTGAGTGACATAAGAACTTATTGATCTTTTAGTTCTTTGAAATTTATGTCCTTGATACATGTATAGTATGTGGCCAACTTCTTGGCAAAGTTTTTAATCTATCAATCACATATAAAAAAATAAAAAGTCAAATTTGTACTTATAAAGCTTCTTAGAAGCTACTCCACAAGATATTATCAAATTTATTTTTGTCTACTTATTTTTATTTAAATTCTTTAATTTAGGTAATTATGTATATTTATGATATTTTGTGCATTGCAAATACAACATAGTTTTTTAGCAGCTAGATATTTTAGATATAACTAACTTTGGGGCTTATCTTAAGAGGTTTTTGATAGTCTTAAATATAGAATGAGATCAAAGAATTTGTTCAATCTTGTAGCACTTACCTTGAAAGAAAGACTCTAATTCATTGATCTTATAAACTTCTTCAACTTCTAATTATTTCAAGAAATCTCAATCATTTGTTTTAATAGATTTCATTACAAATCATTTGATCATAAATTCTAAAAACTTCATTTTTGTGATTGAATATTATCTAAACAAGATGAAATATTTTATACCTTGTACAAGAACTATTATAAATGAAGAAACTATCAAGTTTATTTTTTTAATATTATTTATTAAAATCATGGTCTTTTAAATGGTATTATATCTAATCAAGGATCCTTATTTGTATTAAGATTTTAGAAGATACTTTTTAACACATTAAAATTTTATATTAAATTATCTTTAGGTTTTTATCTTCAAACTATTAGATAATTAAAATTTATGAATTAAATTAAATTAGTATTTTTTATATACTATTAAAAAAATTGAATCACTTTCTTATTTTTAGCAAAAAAATTATATAATAGTATAATATTTTTTAATAAAATATATTTTGTAATTATAATTATCATCTAAATTTTGATACTTTTAATATTTCAAAAGTTAAAAATCTAGTTGTAGAGAATTTTTTAAGTAAAATGGTGAGTTTACACAATAATGAAGATATAGTTAAAGATGCTATAGAACATTAAAAGAACATAATAATATTTTTTTTTAGAAAAAATAATATTTTTTTTAGAAAAAATAATATTTTTTCAAAGCTAATAATAAGATATGATTATTCTATTATAAAATCAAGTCCAATTGACCTTTTGACAAGTTTAATTATCAAAAAATTATTCTTTTTATTATCTAAAAAGTAGTATATTTAATATTATATTAACTATAATTATTACAATTAATAAATATTTATTTATTTATTTCATGTATCTATTATTAAGTCTTATTTTGTAATAGATATATTTTTAAAATGAAATTACTACCACATCTTATTGAAATAGATAACATCTAAGAGTTAAAAGTAGAAGTCTTGGATTCAAGGTGAAACCATAATAAATTAGAATATAAAATATATTAACACTAATTTGATATTAGTAAACATACATAGAATCTATCTAAAAATCTTGAAAATGTGTTAAAACTTAATATTTCTTTTCATCCACAATATCCATCAAAACCAAGGACCAACTATTTATAATACAATGATATAAATCAAGAAGGAACAAGCTTAAGCATCAACTTGTAAAATTGCTTTGCAATATAAGGATTCAATAGTTAATAGATTTATTTCAAGAACTATCATTTATAAAATTGCTACATGAAATATTTAGATTGTATTTAGATATGTCATAATTTTAATAAAGATTTTTAAGATAAAAATATAATTTAAAAAAATAATAATAAATAATAGCATATTTGATATTGCAATCTTAAAATATACTTTCAATTCTTAATAATTCTATTAAAGGTACATCCAATATTTCATGGAGTATAGAATGCATTATTCTAATGCAATTATGAAGGCCTTAATAATAATCAATTAACAAGTTTGTCTTCTTGCCTTAGTATGAGTTATTATTAATGATTAAAAGAATCTATCAACTACTTTTAACAAAAATTGGACTTTGTTAATTTATAAAAGAATTTAAGTACTTCATAATTGAAAAAGTGATGTAATAGGTGCTCATGTTTCTTAAGTAAATAGAAATAAATAGAAATATATTAAGTTTAAAATAATTTTTTTAAGAAGCTAAGAAGAAGTTTTGTAGATAAGAAGTTATAAGAAGAAGAAGTTTTATACATTACTTAGTTTTTAATTGCACTATGTGGCTATTGAAACTTATCTCTTAAGTTTCTTACTTTTAGAAAGTTTTGTTGCAAGCAACCTACAACTTGACTACATGTCTTGTGATCCTTTAGAATCTTCTATAAAATCTTCTTTATGGATAGTATATACAGATGCAAGAGTAAAACTATTCTTAGTCTTGTTAATACCTTTCTTTTATTTAAATCTAGGTTCAAAACCTTCTAGTCTCTTTTATTTGGCAATAACTATTTTGATTATTTCCTATCTAATAACTATTTTTTCTTCTCTTACTTTCTCTCTTATTCAATAATACATGATTGTATTGTCTTCTAGATTTTGTCTAGATTCATGTTATTGACATCATTTGCATAAGTTATTTTCACTTTCTATTTATTTTTATTTATTTAAATAGTCATGTGGTTAGGTTTGATTTTTTATAAATAATTATTTACCTATTTACTTATTTAGAAGAAGTAAATTTTATTTATTTATTTATTTATTTATTTATAAGTCTACAAAAACCATTTATTTTTTTAAAATAGAAGTAAAATACCAACAAAGTTAATTGGTGAAATCTGAATTTACTTTTTAAAATTTTAATACATGCTTAGAAATAATAAATCCAAATCTTTAATGTTTAACATCAAAAAGATAAAATAAAAAATGGATCGAAAGCATCTCTTCTTAAAAATGTAAGTGATTTAATTTCTTTCTAGTACATTGAATCTGCAATACTACCTCTATTTATCACTCCAAGGGATATTTTGCTTGAAAGGATCTAAAATTAATTAGTGTGAATCACAAAATATGAATACTCCAAAAACTGTTACTTTCGACATACTTGTCTATAAAGAGACCTAAATTTTGTGAAAAATAGACTTCTCTTTCTTCAAGACAATCTGACCTTGAGAAACTTCCATATACAAAGCTTCCTTTCATCAGTAGAATACAAGTGCATTCCCACATTGAACATGTTAAGTAATCGAAGTGGCTCACTGTGTTTCTGTTGGTGTAGGTCACTTGATTTCTCTATACAGTCTCTATAAGTACTCAATAATCGAAACAAAATATGACTAAGTGATTAGATTTTGGCTAAGCGCAAGTTCATTAGGCATTGAAAAGGGCAGAGCTTACGCATTCCATTGCACGCTTTGACAGGTTTTACAGGCCTGCATAAGCAACATTCAAGATTGACGCTGAGGACCGTGCCGCTGAGGAGACCAGCTGTGGGGAAAATCTGAGCTTCAAAAGCTCCAGTCGACTAAGTATACTGTAATGCGTTACAACCTCGATCTTTCTGTCCTATGCCAGAAAAGTAGGGGATTATATGATTTTAGATGTGATTATTCCACTCTGCAGACTTATCATTTTCTGAAGCTGGAGGTTGGCACTTTCCAAGCTTGCATTTCAAGGCACCGAGAGCGAGCTTGCTGCTGCTGCGGCAAGTCTCTCATATGCTTCAACACAAGGTGGGTATGGTCTGAACATGATCGTGCTCTCGACATGAGAACCTCAGGCGTTACAGGCGATGCACACCTCTGGGGTCACTTGGGTCATTGTAATGGGAGGATTGCCCGCGCTTCTTCTTTGACATCCTACTCCTTGATGGGGTTACAAACTTGGGTGTCACGAATGAGCTAGTGAATGTTCCCGACACGACCTGGTCGCTCAGTCCCAATGACTTGACTGCTTCTGGCTTTGCAGGAAGCTTGGGAATGTCTTCCTCGTCCCTCAACATGGCAGCGATGCGGGACATGGATGGGCGAGCGGACACCGTATCTTGAGTGGACAAGAGCGCAATATGAATTATATTCGTCGCTTGCTCTTCGTCGTAGTTGTTCTCGAGGCGTCTATCCACCATCTGCAATACATCATCCCTACTTTGCAGTGCCCAAGCCTGCACATACCACTTAGGTTAGTGTTCTCCTCCAGTGCGAGATTCATAGCCAGTTCTTAGCTAGTTCCATTGAAATGATTCTTTTGTTTGTCCTACTTTCACGGTTAATATTTTGTAATGAAGGTTCAGGGATTAGAATTTACCCAGCTGAGAAGAGTTTGCATCTCGGTGCCAAGGAGATTAATGTCGGTGTTAGGACGACCACTGACAACTTCCAAGCATAAAATGCCAAATGAAAACACGTCCGACTTTGCTGATAACTGCCCGTCCAGAGCTAGTTCAGGTGCCATGTAACCTCTGCAATTTCAAATGCAGACACGCCAATTAGAATTCACATTTTGCATACTTCGAGGTCTGACATAATGTGGATGCAATGCGAAGAGGCACTTACACAGACGTCATATTCCGAGGTTTGACCTCCCCTTGGTCGTTGCGGAACAGAGCAGCTAAACCCCAGTCAGCAATCTTCGGCTTCATAATCTTGTCCAGCATGATGTTTCCGGCTTTGATACCACCGTGGGCATAAATAGAGTCGGGCTCTTCGTGCAAGTACGCAAAACCATTCGCTATACCCAACAAGATGTCGTACCTAATACGCCAACTCACCATCTTCGAGCGGTCTGCAGTACCACGATGACCCACAATATTCATTCAATAATTTGCAAGCACAAATTTCTGGATGCTGCGTGAGAATCCGGCGTTCATCTATTGGGAAGCGACATTTCTGTTTATGCCAAGCTTTCGAATTAAATGCAGGAATGTGATTGCAGAAACAGTACCGAAAAGAAGCTGAGAAAGGTTCCCATTTGGCAGGTTCTCGTAGACCAGTAAGCGAGAGGTAGTGTAGCAGCATCCTATGAGTCGGACAACATTCCGGTGGTTTGCCTCCATCATGTTCTTCACCCCCTTGACAAACTCCCGCTTTCCTTGTCTGGAATTCAAGGGGAGACGACGCACTGCTACTCCCGTTCCATCCGGCAACTCTCCCTAAACATTTTCACCGTCAATGAGCATCAACAGGCACGGTAAGTTCAATCCAAACACATACAAAGTTGGGGTCAAATGCGAAAAGTCGGGATGTTTTGCCGACCTGAAAAACGGGACCAAAGCGTCCATCTCCCACTTTTTGTCTCAAGTCGAAATCGTTGGTGGCTTGAGCAATCGTTTCAAAAGGGATAACCTTCGCAGCATGATTAGATGCACCTAGTACCTCTGTTTTCAACGAAAACAAAACAAGTCTTCATTGAGTAACAGAATCCAATCAATTCAGCAAAATCTCAATTCAGTCCCAGAATCCAATCGGCAATCATAACGTGCACTTTCGAAACTTATTAATTACCTGAAATAGTTTGTTCGCTGAATGGCACTGGCTTGCTCTTGGACCGATTTGACTGTCTTCCCTTGCACCAACGCCAACAGCAGTAGAGGGCTACCAAAAAGACTACTGATCCCAGGATAGCAGCTACGATATACAACCACAAAAGGCTCGTCTCACCTAGCAGGGATCAACCATCCCATGTTACTCTAGAGAAGTTGAGAATGACTCACTGAAAACCTGAGTAAAGAAATTCCTCTCCGTCTAGTACAAATCTTTTAGTTGAAGATTTGGAACCACTTCTTTAAATTACAATGTGAATTCAAGAGAAGCAAATAGTAGTAGTACCCCCAGTGGTCGCTGGCGCAGTTGTGGTAGCTTGCAACAGAGCTCGACGAGGATGCAGCGTGATGCGCAATATTTCATCCATGATTCTGCGGCAACAGGTCAAATACATATATCACTCACGAGAGATATTATAGTGTAGATTGTATATCATTATCTGAAGAGGCTTGACGAGAGGTAATATTCGGAAGTGAGGGATTCTTACGATGCTGCCTGTTTGTCGAGAGTTATGCTCCCCCAAAATTTTATTTCATTCTACTCCTTGCTGCTGCAGTACAGTCTCTTTTCGTTAAATGCACTTGATCCCTTCAGATCCTGCGCAAAAAATGAGTTCCATGAACTCGCGCAAGTCAATAAACAGTACATGCTTCAATTTAGCTCACAAGAAAGGTTCTGATCTGGTTGTGGCTCAACCGCTTCCAAACTTTCACTTGAGGATTCGCCGTAACCTCCTTGTGTCGTTCTGAAGGGATCAAGCTTGGGAAACAAGATAACGTAATGAAGACTTCAGACACTTGATAACTTCACTCACACGGCGATTCCACATAATTTACTAAACGGCTGTAATATTGAGGTGATGCAGACCACCCTGGGATTCCTGGAAGCATCAGAAGTTTGTACATCAAGCGCACACTTCCACTTTAATATCCAATCTAACAAGGGGTTTCAACCTCATGCGAAGCTCTGATGTCAATTGCTCTAGGTTTGTTGCCCAAGCCGGCCCCATGTCAGGAAAAACCAGACAGGAAAGTAGCGCTGGTTGAAAAGGGAGACATCGTGGAACTTTCTATCCGTTGAAGTCTTTACGCCGATTCTGTCAATCAGGAATCTGGTTCCTATTGACTGGAGAAATACAGGGACGGCGTCGGCTCAAGTTCCCACTACCCTCTGTGTGGGATATGTTCGTGAATGATACAGGTAACCCCAAGGTTCCTACTACCGATCCTAAGAAAATCGTGATCCGCGAAATTGAACAAGCTTTCCATGCATTGATCTGCACTTCGAAACTGTCGTCTGTAGCTTGATCCTGCCGTGCAAACTACAAAAAATCCCTCAGGAGATATTTCATCACCCATGCAATGAAACGTCTAGTGTCATCACACGTATTTCACTAGTGTCCACAGTATGTTGAATCGATGTACGTTTGATGATACTGCGACCAACTGTATAGATGCAAGATATAACTGAGATTCCACGTCCGAAGAAGCAGGAACCAGCATAAATTCGGCGATTCGAGTCGAAACCTTCGAGGACAGCGTTTCCATGACCGATACAAATAAAACCGAACAGCACGAACCGTGAAAAAAAAACTTGATTATTAATAAACAAAACAACAAAAATAAAAAAGCTGATTCACGTACATGAGATGAGAGCAACGACAGCGGCCGACCTCGCAATCACAGCTTTCAGCAGAACTAGCAGAAGAGAGTCTGCAAACGCAACTGCCGTGAACCAAACCAGCGGCGGAAGACTCTGCTGACTCTTCCAATCCCTCAACTACGCACACCAGTAACCGCGAACAAGCCTCTTCCAGGGTCTCAGTCCTCTTAATCAACCCCGCACTACCATCTCAACTCCGGGAAATCGAACACATAACAGACTCCTCGTTCTAGTCCCCCTCCTCCTGCTCCTCCGCTAATCAAGTTGACAAGCAGAGGCGCCTCCACCTCTGCAACGGGTGCAACTTGCAGGGACACAAACTGTGGCGGAACTATGGCCCTAATCAGGTGCCGAAAGGGTTGAACTAGGAAGAGTAGCAGTGCGATTGTAGCAATCCAAGACGGTAGAGAGAAGCGGAGAGACAGACGGAGAGAGAGCGGGAGAGAGCAGGCAGGCAGGCAGGGGAGGGAGCGATGCGGTGACTAGCTCGGTCTTACCCTCTCTGCTTCGCCATTGCAGCTGCCCTGCCTTCCCTTGATTTAACTTTCCCTTCCCTTGATTTAACTTTCCCTTCCCTTGATTTAACTTTCCCTTCCCTTGCTTCAACCTTCCTTTATTTGATTGTTGCCACCCCCTTTTCACCACCTCCACCACCTCAGCTGCTGCCACTGCTGCTTATGAGATCCAGACCCCTCCTTCGCCCCAAATTTAGCACGAGCCGGCTGCCATAACACAGCCCACCCACCCACTCTCCCCCCGTTTCACGCTGCGGTGGGTTCCCCAAAAATTCCTTGTTTTAGGGTTTTTGAGGTAGGAGTAAAAGTCCCAGCGTTTTTGGGTGGGATTGGATTGGAATGGAGTCCATGACGGGAGGTGTGGATGTAGAGGGAGAGGTGTGGATGTACAGAGGGAGAGAATTGTAGTGGAGGGGACTGTTTGAGAGCATGGCAGGTGGTTGTGTGTGGATCCACTTGAAAAAGTGACCTTAGTATGCCATGTAGTATGGAATATAATAAAAACCAAACAAGCTATTCTCTGACGATTCATTAGTAATGTTTGATTTTTTTTTTTTTTTTTTTTTTTTCCCTCCAAAACGTTATACTAGTGTATTTGCAAAAGATTTTTTCTTTCTTGAGAACACCTGAATGCCTTCTCAACAACATCATTAAAAGAAGTATAAATTTTTGTGAGTAAATATCTTTAGATAAAAATTTAAAACCATAAGATTACTTTTGCAATTTTATGTTATTAGAAAATAATATGTTATTGAATTTAATGATCAAGTGATCAATAATAAAAAAAAATGATCTATCACAATAGCAATAGTATTATAAATTATAATTTAAAAAATATAAATAAAATATTTTCAAGAAGTAATATATAAATATATATATATATATATATATATATTACTATGTAAAATATGTTATCAATTTTTTATTCTAAATAATTTTTTTATTCAAATATAGGTACTAAGTCTTAAAACTGAATAATATGTAATATTCATTATTCGCCATAAAAAAACGAGTTTTTTTAAACATCTTGTTTAAACTCTCTTATCTTGTATCAATTAACAGAAAATCAACTTATGATCAACATCAAAAAATTCTATAAAAATCAAAGCAATTTCATCTTTAAATTATAAAATTAATAATTCCAAGTGATTGAATATTTCTTAATCAAGTTTATTCAAGTATGTTTTTAGGCCTTCACATATATGACACAAAAAAAAATTCTATTAAGTTTCATGAGAGTTTTAATTTTGAATTTAATGACAATTTCTTCTACTTCAAAGTACGCTTATATGGTACAAAAGATAAAACACAATTATATGCTCTTCAAACTTATTACAATTTTTGTGAAGTATGATGCTTTAGATATAATAAGCCTTTGGTATAAATCTCAAGAATTTTTTAACGGCTTCAAATATCAAAGACACTAAAAGATTTTATACACTGATGTAGTATTTGTTTAAGATTAAAGACTCCTTATCATCAAGCTTATAGACTTTTCCAATAATTACCTATTCAAAACAGCCATAATCATTTATTTCTATAAAATTTATTATAGATCTTTTAATTTTAAGCTATTATGGTTTTATGTTTATAATAATAGATTCTTTAATTAATATAGTTGATTTTACACTAGATATAAAGATTAGCACAAGTAAAATAATATTTGAGTTTCTATTGCTATTATAGCTTGTCAAGAGATATTATATTAGATAAAGGATCTTAATTTGTATCTAAAGTTTTGAAAAACTCTTTTTAAGATATTAAAGATAGATATAAAGCTAATATTAAACTTTTTATTATTAAAATAATAGACAAACAAGTAGGTGAATCAAGTATTGGAGCAATATTTGTGATGTATCATCAATTACCATCAAGATAATTAGATAATTCTTTTACTATTAGTAATTTTTTTCTATAATAGTGCAATACATTCTTCTACTCAACAATCACCATTCTATGCTAACTATGACAATCATCTATAATTAGATAATTTTGACTTTTTAAAATTTTAAAATTTTTTAATATATTTATATTTTTTTAATTAAGGCCACATACAACAATGAAAGTGTAATTAAAAGAAGGTCAAGGATGACAAAAGATCAATAAAAATGTCTATTGGAAAGAACAACCTCAATTCTAAATTAATGATAAGATATAGTTTTTTTTTTTTTTTTTTTTTTTTTTGGTAATATCAAAATTAAATACATTTGCAAAGAAAAATATCATTATAGACTTGAACTAGTTCTTATTAGTGAATAAATCAACTTGATTGAATATAAATTATATCTACTAAATTTAATAAAGATTCATCATATTTTCTACATATATCTTTTTGAATTGTACAAAATCGTAGATATATCAAAATAAACACAATTTTTACCTCTATTAACAAAAAAAAACTCAAAATGTCAAGATTTTAAATTTGAATAAGTGTTAAATTTGAGGCCATGTAAAAATAAATTGAAATATCATATATATATTGGTTCACATAAAATATTAATAAATACAAATGGAAGCTATGTGAGAATTTAATAAATACATTATAACTTGTATTTTTTTATCAATAATTTGCATCAAAATCAAGGATTAAGAATTAAAAATAAAATAATATTAATGAAGGAGAAATAAGTTTAAAAATTAACTTGTAAATGTTTTTACAAACATGGAGAAAAAACAGCCAAAAACTTTATCTTTAGAGATTTCATTTACAAAATTGTCCAATGAAACATCTAAATTATTCAATCTAGATAATATTGGAATTGTAACAATGATTCTTAGGAGAGCTATGTTCTTCCTTAAATAGATATAAAGATATAACTTACTTAATATTATGATCTTAAAATAAATTTCTAATACTTAATAATATTATTAGAAATAAATACTACATCTAATTGAATGTAAAATCTATTGTTTGAAGGAAGTTATGACAGCTGAAATTATAATCAAATAATTAGGTGGTATTCTTGCCTTAATATAGGATATTAATGATGGTTGGAAGGATCTATCAACAACCTTCATGTACAACAAAGTACATAATATGTTGTCAATACTATTTGACAAATCTTAGACTTCATCAATTTATAAAGCAATTTGATATCTCTTTGTAGAACTTTTTTTTTTTAAAAAAGAGAGATAATTTTATAGACATCTATAACTACTAGTATACTTACTTGGATAAATAGTAGAATTAGATAGAATTAAATTAAATTGTTAATGTCTTGATAGAAAGCCTTTTAAAAACTCCTCAGACTCTAATTTAACTTTACATATTTATAAGTAATTAACTAGTTGAAAACTTCACCAATAAGTTAGTCACATTGCACACATGTTAAAAACATACTCTATAAGTTGGACACATGTCTTGCAAATGGAATATGTGTCATGTAGCAAATAAGATATTGCCACATAACTATGTAGTAGATAGTATATATTCAAGCCAAAGTAATGCCTTCTTCACTCTACTCAAAGATTTTTTTGCTTCTAGTTTAGATTAAAGAATCTATAATCTTCTTATCTGAAGCAAAAGCTATTCTAATTCCTTCTTAGATATACATCTTTTTTAATTCATTTTTGTCATATTTCTTCGATATACATATTACTTTGTTTATTTACATTGTTTGAATTATTATCCTAAGCACTAATAAAATAATTCTAAGTAGATGTTTTTTTAAAGAAATAAGTATTTTTATGTTCTTCTATAAATAACTATATATTATAATATCTAAAACAAATATGTATAAATCAACAAGAACAAATCAAAAATATAAATATTATAGACTACAATATATATGCCATAAAATATCTTTAAACATTTTTTTTAAAAATAAGTATAAAACGGAATAATTTCAGTTAAAATATCTATAATATAAGTAGGATGAATAAATAATAATATTTATTTACCAAATATTTATAAAATAGTTTCTATAATTTTTGAATTTCTATAATTATTTGTAGAAAATCAATTACTTTAAATGATCATCAATTTTATTTTTTATAAGAAAATATTTATAATGGTAATAATAATTATAGAAATTCAAAAATTATAGAAACTATTTTATAAATGTTTAAATTTGCTACAAATTATAAGGCTTGTAGGTTAGACATGTAATTTGTAAATTATTTTTCAAAACTAATCTTAAAATAAAATAATCCTATGATTGCATAATATATTTAGAAACAATCATTGTATCTTATTTGAATATCTAAAAAAATATTTTCAATAAGATATTATCCATCTAATATATTTCTAGATAATTCTACTTACATCTAATTATTTAAATTCTATATATATCTAACACACACACACATACACATATATATATATATATATATATATATGAAAAATTTCACAAATAATAGCCAGGTTTCTTTTTAAATTGATAAAGTCTAAAATTAACTATATTCATGTTTTTACCAAGTCCTAATAGATGCTTTATACAAAACTATAAACTAATTACTTAACTTAATACTTGAGAATCAAGACAATTGATCTATGATTTTTTTTAATTAAATCATACAAAAAAATATTAAAGATAATAATATTATTTTAATTTACATCAATTTTTAATTGTTAAAATTAAAATACATACATTGATAAATGTATTTTTTTTTAATTTAAAAATTCAACTTTCATATGTTTATGTGGTATTTCTGCTATTGTTTTACAAATAAATTAAAAAATTATTAAACTTTTATACTAACTATATATTATTAGTTCTTTTAGACTTCTAAAACATTAATATTATAATTAAAAAAATTCTTGAATTAGATATCTAAAAAGTTAAAACTTAATAAGAAGTTATACTTTACTTTGTTGATAATTATTTGAAATTTAAAATTAATAGCATTGAACTTTTTCAAAGATGAAGTTCTTGGTTTTTTAATTGATGCAATCTTATTCCAATAAGCCACTCAAAGAAGTTATATTTATGAAGAAATTTTTTTATTGGCGTCTTCTTGATAAATTTATCTTAATTAATTTTGAAATAA